TCATAAAGCATTATGCTAATGTTTTGTCACAGTATTTTTAGAAAAATCAGTACCTACCACAGGAGGAAGGTCTGGATTAAATTCTCTCAGGTGAAATCCAAGGACAAATGACCTTATCCTGCTGGCTTATCCTGATAGCAGACCAAATATCAACTGTACCTCACTAACTGGGCTGAAAGTAAATTAGAACTATGTAATGCTACTGTGAAATGTGTTGCAATGAAAAGAACTCAAATTAAAATGAAACCTGTTCACAGAATTCAGTTAAACTTGGAGAAATTCTACCTTGAATTTAGTTCAGACAAGTTGGAAGACCTTCAGAATTCATCATATGCTGTATGTATAAATACATACGGTGCTTCTTACTTAATGTATTTCTTAGGAAGAATGTGACTGGAATCTTTCAAAGCTTAGGCACAGACATAAGCTTAAATCCATGAATGAAATATCAGGGGTACTTCACATGCCTAACAAAAAAAAACAAAAAAAAAAACACAAACAAAAACCCCACCCAAAACAAAAACCACACAAAACCAGAAACTCCACCAAACCACAGTGCTCTGTTATCATGCAAATTCTGCAGATCCTGCAGTTAAAAATCACAATACAGCAGAACACAGTGAGAAAACATTTCTACACACCTAATTACAGGTGAAGTCCTTGACAGCTATACTTAAATCACTTCTCTTAAAAACTCATTTTAAATGAAGACAGGATAATGAAATTAATTAATACCTCTTTTGTCCAGTACAATAACCAGTTTTAGTATTAGATCTCCTTATCTCTGTGAGTATGCATAATTCTACAGAATACCGCAGAAACCAGTATGCAAGTATCACACAGGGAGACAGACTAATTTAACACAAATCACCAGAATTTATTAGGAAAATCTGATCTGTAGATGACTATATATTACATATAAATACGACTGCATTTCTTAAATGTTAAATTACCTATTTAACTGCAGGTACAAGTACTTCATTCTGTTTAGTGCAATCTATTACCTCATCACTCATTTGCTGATATGAGTAGACTTGCCTCTTACTTTATAGAGCATATAGGTAAAATTGTTCTATACATACTAATGCCAAACATCTTAGAGGTTTTGATTTGGAGCTCTCAGGCTCAAAAACTAAAGCAACAGGACAAATTCACCAAAATTGACTCCACTGCTGATTCCAATAGTTTTTGAGTGTTCAAATATCAAATTAATGGCGACGCATTGCATAGCAGGTACCATACTTTCTGGCTTCAACTTAGATTTGTTGACTTTATGTCAGTTTGACTGTGGAGAATTAGAACCAAAGAAATATTTTGCAACAAGTAATTAACTCTCTTGGTTCTATAATACTTTCTACTCAGGTAACATGCTGCATGAATCGGAATATATCTGGGTCCTAAACAATGAATCATTTGTAGAACATCTCTAAGGACTCTCCTATGCTCTGAGACTCTCTTCAAGTCTACCAAAGCTTGCTTGGCTTTGGAGAATAACAATTTATTTATTTTTTTTTCAGAGAATGCACTTTCCTATAGTTGCCTGCAAAAATGTATTTAATGTTAAAAAGTAGCTGAAAAGTTTCATGTTCCTACTTTAATTTTCAAATATTTTTTTCAAACTATAAATTGGAATGTTGAGATTCTGTAACGACTGCAAGGTGAAGACTCTGTCCTTCTAAAGTCTTCCTGTTCCTTGAGGTTTTAGAAGGAAAACAAGAAAAAACCCAACAAGCCAGAAAGTAAAACCAAATGGTACCCTCCAAGATTTTGACTAAACCACTTCCAGTTCGAAGACTGCTTCTCTACCCTTGTGCCATTTTTTTTATTCCTCATTCATTCATGCAGGATAACAACATAGTGGGTTTTCCATGGAAGCAATCTACTCTTAAACAAATATTCTAAAAATTACCAGTTCTATTTTACTACATTGCCCTTCTTCCAAAGACATTTAAATCAGGAACAAATATCCAAGAATAATGCTACCAGTTATGATAAGTCTTCCTTTTTCCTACTTTTAAAACTACTTCAGGACATCTTTAATGCTTTCCTTCAATTCAGAACAGAATTAAATTGCTGTGCTGAGCAAACAGTAACAGCTGACTGCAAAGCAATCCCACACAACAAAGTTCAAACTACCTTGCTTGTACTCAGAACAGAGGGAGGCTACTCAGAGGCTGGATGAAAAAAAGCTTTTGTTATGCAACCTCAGTGGCCTCAAAATTGCAGACAGAAACATATGGGTAGCATATCAACACTGAGAATGGCAGGTCTGAAATGTGCAGCATCCTCCTGATGGCCATTATTATTCTATAAGCCCAGTTTTCATACATAAAAATCTGAAGATCTACTTTTATTGCCTTAGAGCTGGACATCAGAAATCACTTCAGCATTTTAGATCTATTGATTCAGCGTGTCTGAAAAGACTACAGCTCCATGCTTTCTTTTGCATCCTCAATAAGGATTTTATATTAGTTCACAATTTCTCTGTATCATTTAAACATCTACCTTTAGGGGATTTTGTGCCCCTTTTCCCCGCAGTATACTTTCATAATTTCTCACAGATTCTTGGGAACTCATTGAGCTTTTATGCATGTGTATCAAGATGAGAACAGCTGCTTACAGTATTTTTTTTTTCAGTAAAAGTAGGATCTATTCTGAAAAGCTGTGGACATCATGACGGCTAAGTATTTCTGGCCTGCTTAGGGCCTTGACTTCACAGATATTCATATAAGTATCTCAGAAAAATTCCTACTTTCTACATGTTGCTTATATTAATGACACAATGGTACATAATTCTTTCTGTGCTATACTCTTAGACACTGAACAGTTCTTCAGGATGCAGAGATCAGGGACCTTCTTTAAAAGATTTATTTTTAAAGCATTCTTCCTGAAAGTTATGATTTTGTGGTGCTCAGGTCCATAAATACAACTTGAGCCTTCAAATTCTCCTAAATCTGAATTGACAGTGGTGCTCATTTAAAAAGAGATTGTATGGTTTATTCAGAGAGTCAGCGATTACTGCACAAGACAGCATTGCCACAGGCTTAAATGGTGCTGTATCAGGTCTTACAAGAGAAGTCATTACTGCCTTCTCTGTGACCTCTAAATTCATATTATTTTACTGTCAGTTTTCTCACAAGAGCCTCATTTCTGCACATTACAGAATGTTTACAACGTTCAAAGCATTCATTAATGTAGTAATTAAGTATATCCTAAGATACTAATTTATTTAGAGACTATTTAAAAGACATAAAATCACAGCATTTTATGCTCAACACATATTTAAAGTGTTTATCAAAGATAAAAGTTTTTACAGCTTATCATTTTCCTATATTACTCTTTCTACATATGCAAACCTATTTATATATCCCCTTTTCAGTGCAGCTTGAAACAACACAAAGAGCTGTGAATGGAAGGACAATAGACTTAGCAGCATTTATTCTGAATCACAATCAACACCCCTGAAACAAGCTTTCCCTGTGGCCCCCTCTGCTCTTTCGAATGAATATTGGTTATAATTTCTGCAAGCAGTCAAAAAATGTACCACAGGGAACACTTGCACATCTGTATCCCTGAAAGAAATTATAAACATGCTCACTGTCTTGCTAATGCTCTTCCTTTGAGCCAAAGATATTCTCATGCAATAGTGATACATGTATCAAACAAAGACTAAAAAACGAAAACTAAACTAAAAAAAAACAACAAAAAAAAAACAACAACAAAAAAAATTACATTAAGGACTCTGTGAGAGATACTAAAGAAAATCCAATAAGCCATTTCCTCAAATGAGGGGACTTTTAATTAATATACTCTAGATACCATTCACTTACTGCACAATGAATGACCTGCCAAAGACTTCTTTACACATAATAAAAGAAAGAGTTAAACTTGTGACTATTGGTACTTAAACAACCTTATAAACTTGTGCAAAAATGACATGGCCATAAAAACTCTGTTCATCACTAATAAATCACTCATTTTAATAGCACTAGCATAAATCCAAATGATAACAGTTACTGTCTAGATTTACAGTGATGTAACCGAAGTCAGCACTTGGATCCATATGTTTTAGTGCACAGTTATTTCTATGCATATTTAGAGCTTCGGAACCATATAGAACTAATGAGGCTGGAAACAAAGGAAAGTTCTACTTATAAATTGCCTGTATGCCCACTGGACAAAGCACCTGTTCACAAACAGAGAAATAGGCCTCTATGGCAAAGCTAGTTTGAGATTTATATTTAAAGGCATATATTCAGCAGAGGGAAAGGAAGTACACAGTGTAACAAGAGCAGCAGTTTCACAAGCCCCCACCAAACTGACTTTCACTACTGTCCTGCTCTGTCTCTGTACAGACAAGTGATCACTACAGTGAACAACAAAGAAAGAAATGTGGTTTCAAGAGGTCTATGGAATAAGAAAGCAGAGGACACTGTAGCTCAGATCTGGAAGGAAAACGAAGCAGTCATATTGAACACAGATAGACCACAAACTACAAAATGCCTTTGAACATGCACCAGAATGCTATTGTTTAATTTGGCTGAAAAAATCCCGTCACTATTTGCTGGAATGCTGCATTTCACTTCATGTGAATAGGGGTAAGGGGACAGAGAAAGAGAAGGTGACCAAAGTGTTTTTTCTGTCTGTACTCTGTGTTAGAGAACAGGGAACTCTATGCTGCTGATGGAGATAGTCCAATCACATGTCCCTGAGAAAGCTTCTAAAAAGATCCTTATGTCTATGTAGGCAGAGCTTAAAAGCAATTTGTCAATTTGGTTTCATTTAAGTGTTCTTTTTTAACTTAATAGAATCATGCTGGTGTGCCACTGAGACGATCCTTTTACGATGAGTTTGCTGTCCAGCTATGTTATTACAACCAAGAAATGGAGATAAAGATCATAATGAAGCATATAATTGTTTTTATTATCTCAAATCAGAGATTGTTAAGCTTGTGTTGATACATCTATATTCTTTTTTGTATTCACAAAGTACAAAAGGCAACAAGGCCTGGTGTATTCAGCGGGATCTAAGAACACTTCTGAAAGGAAAGGAATGCATATAAAATAATAATCCAGATATCATAATATCTGGAATCCTTATTTTTGTAACAAAATCAAAACTTCTCTGCACCCTGCTTAAAGCCATCTTGCCCAGAAGTTTCTTCACACATCTAGAAAAATCTCTGTAAACACAACTCTCCTATGCGGAATGAGTCAGAGAACAGCAAGCATCAATTGCTTTTAAACACATTTGTGAAGAAAGACAAATGTGAATTCTTTTCTTTTGCTCTTAAGCCACAATGACACAGGGTCATGATATTTTTAATTGATTCTGTATGTACCACACCTCAGATTCAAAGCACTGCATAAAATACGTTTGCCAACTGGTATTTCCACCTTTCTTTACAAAATGCATTTTGTTTATATAGGAAAACAAACCCATGAACTCCTAGTTCTTCAGTTCTCCATACACCAAGCTGACATGCACCCTTCCACACCAGATTCTCACAAGCTGGAAGATTTCCAGAGAGCCTCCAGGAACAAACTTTAGAAGGAGGCCCTAGATTAGTATTGGCAGCATAAAAATTTGCCTTTTTAATGGCAACCATTTTACGCTGTTTAGCACATTTAGTAGGATTTAAAGATGAACCTAATATAGCCACAAACTCTCAGGAAAACCCTGTGAGGTTGAGGAGAAAAAAAAAAAAATGGTGAGAGATGAAATACATAGTCACTGCCAACAGATCTTGAGCAAGAACTGCACGAGCAGGTGAAAAAAAATCTAGTGACTGTGAAGACCTTGATGACAGCTCTGGGTCTGCTTCCCTTATTCAACTGTTTCCACTTATATTCACTTCTGCATCTGTTATATATTTAGGGGTGCTTTTATTACTAGCTTTGGATCCATTGAAGCAGGTGAGCATATGTTCAAAAGACAACTAAAAAAAGAGAAGTTAAAAAGAATACACAAAATGATTCAGAGAAAAGTAGATGAATCAAACATGCTGTCTGAAAATAAAGGCATCCACATTTTAATTGGGTTTATCCCATTTGAAGGGAGACAAAATGAATAAACCAATTTAATTTAAAGTAAACCAGGAGAAAGCACTTTGATGCAAATAATCTCTCTTGGCAAAGGCTGCCTAAGATGGATAACAGCAAATACACACACATACTGCATGCAAGTATCTATCATACAATGTTCTTCCTTAAGCAGCTTTCCCCCCATCTTCCATCCTTCTACTTTAAGCTATTATTTGAAACTGACTTTATAATCTTACCTGTTTTCCTCTGTATTTATCTGTTGATAGAGGTCCCAAGTCAGGAAAGCACCTGGTATGCACCTGACATCCAAGCGCATAGTGGCCGGGAGTCAAGTTAATTCCCCATAAAATGCCTTTCCTGAACAGGAATTCTTTGGCCAAGGGTGATGAATCTATGCTTTTGTTTCCAAGCTGTTCATGAAGAGAAAAGAAAAAAAGAAAAAAGTAACATGCAGCCTTGTCTTCAAAGTATTGCTTATCTTGCCAAATTACTTCTTACCTTTTGGGTGACATGTAAAGGGCTTGTTTGGGTTGTTATTTTTGCTTTTTACATATAACCTTATTTTAATACCTTAATTGCTGTTTAGGACAATATGCAGCCTTGTTTGGGGCTCTATACAAAAGTATTAAAATAATTTATAACAATTAATTTCCTTTGCACTGTTGAGAGTACTTAATTCTGACAGGAACTGCAAAGGGTTCCACAGTCCAATGAATTATAATTTCACATCTAAAAAGTTTAGTGGTGCTGCAGAACTGCTTAAGCACTTGATCGGCTTCTCCCTCAAAGGAATACAAAAGAATCCATACATCTGTATTAAGGTAGTTACATAACATATTGTCTTGTCTTCAGCCAGCAAAGCCAGTTTAAGATGTTCCCATGCCTTTCCTCCCTGACCCCAGGGAAGAGAACATTTCATGACTTAATTTAATCAGTTAAAACAATTCAGTTCTTGAAAGATACATGAATAATAAACATATATACCAAGAAGAGCAAGGCAAACAGCAGGAAATGTTTTCTCTCTGAAAATATTTTCTGGATGTCTGCAACCCTGCAAATTAGGCCAATGATCATCATTTTGTCCAAACTACAGTTACAGTGCAAAATTAAAAGTACAAACCATGACAAAATGACAGGATATATATGAAATTAATTTGCCACTAACTGCATGCTAACCTCAGAAGAAGTACTAGATTTGGTTTCATTTCTTGTCATATATTTGACAAATTTTCATATACCTTTGGACTGTTAAATTGGTCAGATTTAACAAAAGCAACAGTTTGCCAGCTGTTGAGGGGCAGCTAAAAAATTCAAACTACTGATAGGCATTCAGTCTATGGGACCATATTACCAACTATTTCAGCCCACAGATCTAGTCTTACTGCAATGCTTACCAAGATAGACTTAACCTTACTAAAATTACCTCTCCCCTAATCACAAGACTTTACTTTTTGCTGTAACATACTTTCTGAAAGCTATTCTCCTTTAACTTCTTGACAACTGCCCTGCCCAGTACATCTATTATAATCTTACATGTTCCAATTCTAGGCCAAATGACCAGGTAAAAAAGCATTATAAAAGACTTACATTTAGCACAAAATTAATTATTCTGCAATCCAGTATTCAATATTTACTTTTTTTTTAAAAGTGTGAAATCATCCATAAGCATTACAACATAATATTCAAATGTGATAGTTGCACATTCGGAAAAGAACAGAAAAAGGCTTAGTGGGGGAAAAAAGAAAACACCACACAACGTACAAAAACCACAAACAAAACGCCAACCAAAACCAACAAAAGCAACAACAAAGAAAACCCACTTCACTGAATTGTGACCAAATAAAGCTTTTCAGTAGGTTTTGAATCAATGCTCTAAAGGGGGTATGAATGAGCACTGAGGGCTTTGGGCAGGTTTTTTTTTAAATATAATAGTACCCAAAGACTTACATATTACAAAAGGCATGTAAAGAATATTTCTCCAGTAAAGAAGACTTAAAACATGTATCAGCTCCTTAAAGATAGCTAATATCACACTGGCTACAAAAGCTACCTGTTCATAGTACAAACTAGACTAAGTGGAGATAAGGATACAGGAAGGGGAGACAACAGAAAGTATAAATTAGTCTTGGGAATTTAGGCAGTAGAAAAGAGAGTATGGTCTATTTAGAGACATATTTGTCAACTCATGTCTGTTCACTCCAATACCTGAAGAAATTTCTTTTTCTCCAGAATATATTTAGGGAGGCAGACAAAAATAATGCAATGTTATTACAAAAATAACTTAAAAATCCAATACATAATTTTCATGTATTTTGTAGTGATTTTTACCTGAGTTTTACGCTCTTCAAGAAAGTTACAAAAACAACTTTTGCCGAAAGTATTAACAGAATTCGCTTGTGCCTTTTTTGAAACCATAATTTATCACCTTCATTTTTATATGCAAACCATTTCACACAGCTGTAGAAATACTGGAAACACTTACTGCTTTCAAGCTCCTGAAGGTATTTTAAAAAGCTATACCTCAAAATTCCATTTCATAAAGAAAATAGCTTGGATAGAAGAGATTGCCCCACTACGTATTTGTTTCTCATTCAGGAAGCAACCCATCTTTCTTAGTTAAAGTATCCAAATACATGAATGGACACCTCTAAATGGTGCTGTTATGATTAAATCTTCAACATTTTGCTGCATGGAAAGACTAGCATTATATTCTTAACAGATGTAGTGTTGGAACCGTTTTATACTCTTCAGAGAAATTGCACAGTATGATTTATAACCCTAACTCAAGTGAAACGATACTGAATGGAGTGCTGTCAGTGATGAACGACAATTCCGGATGACTGAAATTTACTGAAGAAAGTAAAAGATGGCATCATTGCACTATCTTAAACCTTGAAAAAGCCACCTGGAGTGCCTAAACCTGACCAAATTTCTATAACTAGCAGCTTTCCACTATCTACTTCATGCAAGGGAATTACACAGTGTAGATTATGGAGCCTGAGGCTACACACAGTGTAATTTTCACCATCTCTGAAGAAGAATTTAAACGCCAGTACAGGTTTACACAGACACTTTTTTTTTTTGCAATTGATATAGCATTACTATACAAAAGCACTCAAAGTCAGATATTTTAAAATCCTTGCAACCTAGATTTCTGACATATTGGACATGAACCTCTGCTACAATAAAAAGCAAAGCACAAGGTAACTTTCAGTAAGAAAGAGATATTTCAACTGTTTAAGAAATAAAACAGTTTCCAAGCCTCCAAATGGGGTACGTAATCCGTGAGGATTTAAAATCTGCATATAATTATTCCAATATAATCACTTTCAGAAGTGCCCCAGGTCTTCATTTTCAATACAACAGAAAATAAAGAAGCAAGCCTGTCTGCATTAATATAATGTCCCTCAAATGCTTTAAGACTTTACCGATTTATTTTATTTTTGAAAAAGGAGAAAAATAATTTCCGTCATTAAAAATAAAACATTCTTTTTTGCCCCCCTTCACATTTTAACATTAATATTGGGGTTTTGAAGTTCTAGTCAGCATTGCATTAACTGCTGCTCTAACAGGTGTTAATGCAGTTCCTGCCTTTCCTCTGAAGAGCTATAAAAACACAGTGCTTTCAGAATTTAGGTAAGGATATAAATCTTGGCTCCAGGTGTTTCTGAATCACTTTCCGTAACATGAAATAAACTAGTCTTGACCAATTCTGAATGAAGTTTGAATGCAGCATCGGTTTGTACCAAGTTAAACTACCTCAAAGAATGAGTACGTAAAATAAACCAAAACTTAGTGACATATTTACTTTCTGGAAGGCATGTTAAATGAAGTTTAAAACCAGATTTCGAAATCCAGCTGTAAAAGGGGGTATGTAAAAGTGATAAATGAGGGTTAAACACCACCCAAATCTCATACTTAGTTGTAAGTATTACAGTAAGCAAGTGAAATTTTCACTCTGAAGCAACAATTCAGTTTAAACTACAGCTTGCAGTTTTCTTCAAATTTAAGTCAATAGCTATCCCGTGGTTACTATGTATCAGCAAAACATGCCTAGAGAGTGTATAAAACAGCTCAGCATAACAAACATAAACAACTTTCAAACATCAGTCCTGAGCGTAAAGTGCAAAACAACTTCTCTGCCAACCCTAATGCAAATGCTCCCAAGCCTGTACCCACTAATCATGTTTCTACTTTCAATGAGGTTTTCCCCTATCCTCCCATCCCATCCCACACTGGAAAAATCCTCCCTCATTATCTTGACAGATAGCTTTGATTAGCAAGCAACTCAGTCAGTCATATTACGTCCTATGTTTCAATTCCAGGAAGATAAAGGTACAGTGATACACTTCAAGTTTACTTAACTAGAAGAAAAATTAACTTAAATGCTCTATAGACACCATGCTGAGGTAGACTGCCTGAATAATGCTCATACACTGTTCACGCCAGCCAAGAAGTTCCTTGACCAGAGATTGTTTTCTCTATAAATTTATAAACACATATATTTCTCTTTATATTTACTTCAGAACAATAGATGGGTAATGGAGATTTCCACTAGAAATGCTAAGAGTTTAACATTTGGAACCAGTAAAATATCCGCTATTAGGTAACTCATTGAATGGAAATGGCCCAGTTACTGTTAGAATGATTATTTTCTGACCATTCCAATTTAGTCTCAATAGGCACTTAATAACATTTGCTTTAGTAAAACTAATAATTCTTCAAATTTTCCTTTTTTTTTTTCTTAATGTATTTGGAAAAAAAGCCCCAATAGTTTGGACTTTTTTTTCCTTAAATTATATGGAATATTGTTAACATTTTATCTGCCAATGCGTTTCTGTCAGTTACCACTGGTTCTGTGTTGTATTTAGCTTACTGAGTTCCAAGTGTAGAGTTCAAATAATTTAATCATCCAAATTTTCTTATGGTACTTCAGATTTTTATATCAGTTCAGGTTTTCTAGCTTTAGAAAATGGACTGGTACACATATACATACATGAACAGGCAGTACTTTCTAGAGTTTCCTCTTCATTCACAGTTCTGAAAATTAGTCAGCAAGATTGAGATCTGCTCTATGCTTGACACCTGTTATTCACATGATTCAATCACAGGTGTGTACCACAATGTGAATGTCTTCCAAATCTATGGTAAATACATAAAATATACTCTCAAGAACACAAAGAGAGTAGTACTAAATATTAAAAGGAGAAAACATGCTGGAGCACTGTGCATCAGTAATTTGTCTGGCTATTAGAAGCCTGGTTATTTTTACGAAGAGAAAAACAAGGAGGAGAAATGACAGAATTTTGTGGGTATGTTTCTTGTTGAGTTTTTTTATTTAGATTGTACCTTAGAATAGGTAACAAAATTACATGAACATGTTTATCACAGCCAGTTTGGGGTCTTCGATCTGTTGCGCATTTAGAAATGGATTTACACTCCCCTTGGCAATTTCCAAAAGTGGAACATTTTCAGTGAGAAAAATATTTTATGTTGTGAAGTAACATTTTTCTATTGATTAAAATATAACTTTATTAGCATGTGTGAGAAAAATGACAAAGCTTACATGTTACTGAACTTGGTTATTTTGCATCAGCAAAGACAAACCTGCAGCATCTACAGGAACAGTCATTCAAAGAAGTTTGCGGGACATGTCACAATTATGAACTATTTTCTCTTCTAAATATAAGGAAGATTTATTTTCTAATGATATAAAAGCTACTGTAAGTCAGTAAACACTAGGAAATTTTGAAAAGGTCACTGTTAAAGTAAGGGTTGGCATAGTTCAAGCTACTTCATCAACAGCAGAACACTGCAAAGCCCTTCCACACACAGAAGTGCAATTCATATATGCACTTTAAATCTCGTGTAGCTTTCAAGCATGAAAGCTGTACAGAAAACCTAATTAAAACCACAAAGAAGCCAAAAGTCTGTATAAAATCCACAGAGGCTTTTGAATCACTTTCAGGGTTTGTTAAAAAAACAAAAACCAGAAAACAAAACCACACAAACAAATAAACAAACAACAAAACAAAACCAAAAAAAAGAACCACCCAAACAAACCACCTCAGATATATCTATGTGCTTCAGGCTTTTACCAGTCATACTCACACATGTTAAGAAGGAACAAGGTAACCTAAAACAATGCCCGGAGATACGAAAAAAAAGAAAAAATTAATGCAGGGTTAGAGACATTGGAATAAAATAAAAAAATAAAAAATTAAATTCATTTACCTACACACAGTAAGTCAGCAGCTCTTAGGGTCACCTCTCCATCATGGTCTCAGAAGCAAGAACGTGGGCCTGCTGTAGCCAACTCACCCTCAAACATGGAAGTAACATTTTAGTGTGGATACACATTAAAGAATTCCTGAAATAGTCAGGTATTACTCAGCATTATACAAGATTTTTCACACCAAGGAACCACTCTCCACCTACAAAAAGTTTCTATACTTTCTTGAGGAAGGTGACAGTTTTATATAAGACAGCTAACCCTGATTCTAGTCCCATTAGGGTTTCTAAATACAAGGTTGAGAAACTAAGGACCCTGGTTGTATATATTCACTTTCCAAAAAATATCCTGTTCAACAGTTTCTACATGGCATTTGAAACAAAGAATCAGGGATCCTAACAGGAAAGCCACAAAAGAGAAAACACAGGAGGTTTGCAATGTAAGAAATCTGTAAAAGTCAAATTTGAACAGTAAAATGAACAGCAGTGTAAAAAAAAAAGATAAATCTTCAGGTTCAGCAACACCTTCAACCATTAGGTACTTAAATTTAAGCTTCTAAAAGGTAATTTAATTTAAAAGGGGGGGTGGTGGGGTGTGTGAGAGACCCAAAAGATCCCAAAGACACTGTTTTCTGGGGGATGTGGATCCAAGACAACAGTGAGGTTCAAGTTACTACTAGTAGAACAGTAGTAATTATAAGATGCTGTCATGCACTGTAAACAATTGTTAATGGTCTTCCTATGTTTTTTCCAAGTAAATTAACTATCCCATCTCTTGTCAGTTAAACTGTCTACTGAAATGACAATAATTATCCACTGTTCTGTCAAGAACAGCCTTTCACTTTCCCCCTTTTAACTCGTTTGGAAATGCAATGTAAAATCTCAGTTTTTCTTAGCTCTCAACTTTTAGATCACCCTGAGCTTTGAAAAAGCTCTGGAAGCATCCAAGTAACCTGGAAAGAAGGTGAATCTAAAGGAAAAAAAAACAGCTCTTTGATAAGGGGGTGTAATAGCATGTACACACATTAAAATAAAGCAGAGGAAGAAGCCACAGGGAGTATTATGGATAAATAGTGGAATGCTTACCATTTTAGAGAAGGAAGTGGGCTCTACTGCCTTGCTACAGGACAGGGATATAGAAAGGAGATCAGAAGGCTTCTGCTTAGCTTGGAAATTATGAAATACCTCATTGCTTTACAAGTATAAAAACTAGCACAGCAATTTTTAGCAGTTTTAAAGACATGACACATTTGGATACAGAGTATGTTAAGAATCTGAAGATAAATAACAAAGCTGTCTAACGAAAAGAAGTTAAGCAGACTGCATAAATTATGCTAGACAGATTACTTCTAGGAAATTATATTGTCACAAACATGACCTACCTATACATCAAAGAAGTGCTGAAGCCTCATGTAAGCAGAAGCAGTTTGGACCAGCTGTCCTTCATTACGGGTTTCTAGTTTAGCTGAAGGTTAGACCCTCAAGTCTCTGTTGACAGATGTTTGAGTAATACTTTATTTGGTTGCTTTTGCAAGAAAGGGCTGAAATTGCTGACAGGAATCTTAACAGTAACTTGAATTTGCAATGGTACCTGTTTCTCGCAGGTCATCTGATGCAATTTTATCTATATAAGTAAGTAGCTCTGAGTCTTCCTGAATTTCATGAGTAGCCTTAAGGTCTCACACAGACAATTTGTTAAAGCTTACTACCAGACAGAGGGCCTCAAAAACCCAAAAGAAAGGGGATAAAATGCATAGTCTTTCTACTGATCAGACACCACTGTTAAGTGATCTGAGTGGTCAGTTTAAAGGTGTTTATCTTTTTAATGGGACTTTAAATGTAAAACCATTACCCCTAAATTGAAGTTGTTATTAAGTACCAAACAGCAAGCTATGTTACACCACTCATGGTATGAAATTAAGTTCCCTTTGAAGGGTGCTGCACTCAGTTTAGAGTTGTGGTTTCTGCAATTATGTGAGAGGAACGCTCATTCATTAGAATCCACCAAGTTTATCTATATTGTCTTTTTGCACTTTTCTGTGACAAATGTCTAACTTTAAGTCCTATAAACATTAGGTATGCAATATCCTCAAGGGTCTCAAAAGGAGAAGCAGAAGCCTTTTAAAGCATCTTAATTTTAAAGAGATATTTCTGGAATTGAGAAATTATACTTTCATTGTTCCCCATTAAGCCTCACAGTTCATACAGAGCTAACATGCTAAAAGAACCCAATGTTTGTCCTAAGAAATGTAAAAAGGAAGTGAATAGGTAAAACTGTTTCACCTGGGTAAATCAAGGGAACAGGTAGAGAAACAGAAATATAGGGATCTACAAGGCTGTAATTTGGAAAAAGTTCTGAATAGACATTCCTGAATTTTCTTTCAGACAATTATCTGAAATTTCTAGAGTGACACTTTGTTAAGGGTCAGACAACAAAAAGGTGAAGCAAGCTGTCAGGAAAAAGATTTTCCGAAATGCAAGGCATAAATGAAAGTATTGACAAGCAAAACACATATTCACCTGGTACTGTGGTAAACACCATTAATAATTTACCTCTTGCTTACTGAAGGAGAGAAAAAGGGACCTGCTTAAGTACAGTGTTATTCAGAAAAGTTAAGGTAACAGGTATGCTCAAAACCATATTAGAATAATACAGCTGGAAACAGTATTTTTAACATTTCTTAAAGATCCTGGGTTTGGATCTTTTTTCTTTCAAATAATCATAGAGTAAATTCTGTTTATCCTAAAATATAGGCAGTTGATCTTTTCCTTTTTTCATTTTCTTTTCCTTTTTTCATTTTCAACAACAGGAAATATGAAGATAAAACTAGAAAAGAGAATCAGCTTTAGTACTGGTAGCAAAAGCAAAGAATTCTTTTTTCTCTCTTCTCCCAGATATGTATTCCAGGCATTAAATGCAAGAAGCAGTTTCTGGAAACAGAAAAGCACAGTTTCAACTTGTAAAGAAGGAAAACATTAGCAGGCTGAGTATGGGAAAAGTAAAGGAGAAAAGAGGGAAGTAAGACTCCATTTCAGCTACAAAAATAATTCTAACTGAACTTATCATAAGGACTATGTAACATAATTGCTAATAACAACAGTAAGAGAGCTAGAACTAACTGGGCCTATCCACCACTATGTGCAATAATTTGTCTTTGCCACCAGGAAAATACTGAGGGATTAGAAAGGCATTTAGAAATGCAAGAAATAAACCAGCAATTCCTACAGAGATTTTTAAGAAAACACTCTTGGGCATCTTCTCTTAAAAGTTAAAAGATATTAAATATCTGCAACTCAGGGTCAGTGTTATAAATAAGGGCCCACATAAACAGTAAAGAGTGAACATAAAATTTACCTGAAAAAAACGCCACAATTTTGAAATATTCTCTATATTGCAGACAGTTTAAGCTTAAGCTTTTTTACAATAACTTGTATAACTTAACATGTTTATCTGAAGGTGATATTTCTAAGCTTCTGAGGATTTTTACATGTAAAAAGGGGCCGATTTTGTCAGCTTGTTGGGAAGTTCTTTAGTTTTTAATCTTCCCAAACACAGGAAACTTGCTGCAAGCTCACACCATTGTTTCATTTTTCAAAGCTCCTCTTACCTTCTCTATGACTTGGAGAACTGCAGCTAATTGTTTTCCTGATAAGACAACCTTGGCTGCTGTTGTTTGGAAAAAGCAGCAAATGCTGATCTTCTATAAAGAAAATGTAGCTTCAAGACCAAACTATTCATATTATCATAGACAAGTCTGTCTACCTTTGCCAATAAACTAGACTGAAATAGAAAACATGTATCATAACTTGTGATTTATTTAGATGAACATGCTATTGGTTCTATTTGCAGTAAGAGTCAACTTTTAATTTTGTATAATGACTAACAACAGAGCAACAAAAAAATAACAATCCTTTAGCAAATTATCTGACAACGTTCAGATTAAAAAGTATTATTTGTGCATTATTAGTGGGCTTACTTTACATGGAACAACATATTATTCCTTAAATCACTCCAAATACAACTTCAATTTTCAACAGGATAGCACTGAGCCCATTTAAAAATAGAAATCTTGAGTTCAGGTAAGTTCAGGCTTGGTAAAAACTCATTAGTTTTAAGGTGTTATGAAAAAGCTCAAAGGATTATTTCTTACCTGATTTTGTAATTTCTAGAAAAACCTAATATTAACTAAGTTAGGTTTTTGATCTTTTTATTCATATTTTAAAATGTATTTTTCCCTTTAGTTCCCGTAGTGAAACACAAATATGCATATAACAATCATTGTGGGATGCATGGGATATTACAACTGCATAACATGAACTACTGAGAATATCATTTAACTTCAGATCCCCCATTCAGTTAATGATATATGCTTCTGCCCCAGTTGTTAAGACTGGAGTTGTCAAACTAGCCAGGTTATCATCAAGAGCACAGTTACAGCAACAGAGATTAGCATGCTCTGGCCAACAGACTTCCTGGGTCTCGCGGGCTGTGATGACCTCAACATTACAAGTCACTAATGGCAACAAGTCAGGACCTGAGCTCCTTAATTTACTGATAACTTAGGTATGCTTACATATGCTATAGTTACAGTTTTATTTAAATGGATTTAAGAGTGAAAAGACTACCTAGGCCAGCTTAATGTTGCTTGCTGAGTACACTTGGGGTTTAAGTGTCCACATTAAACTAACAGGCAGACAACAAAGTCCCCTGCCCCAACATTCTCCTCCCCTGCTCAGTATTAAATGCATAACAGAAATACTGCTAACATGTGGAGACAGTGTTCTCACGGGAGAATGCATAGTTGGTACATAAACTCTGAATAATCCTGAAAGATACAGCAAGGCCATGAGAGGCCCAAAGAAGCTTAAGCAAGCAAGATAAGAGGCTGGAATTCACCGAGTTAATGAGAACTGTGAACTGTTGGCAAGCTTTCGAGGTCGAGTTCTCACACCTGTGTTTAACCAATTAAATGTTAGTCACTAAGGGTCTTCAGGACATGTATCCAATCATAATATGCCAAATCACTGTAAGTGCACGTAAGAAATAGTATATAAGGGGTTAAGGATTTGTATAAAATGAACAAGAAGCATAACTCATATTGAGTTGTTCTCTTGATTCCAGTCGCTCTTTCTGACACTAGCATACCTGATGGACTCATACTGTGAGATAAATGCAGAAGACACTGCAATCGAAGAAAGAGTGAAATGAGTAATCAAGACAACTTAACTGAGGTGGATTTCTTTTAAGTTAGCTATGTGCTAAAGTGTGCTGCTGAGGGTCAACACAGGTCTGAAAGGTCTATTATCCAAAGTGCAAAAACGCCCTCTGACATCTGTGCAATTTTAAATAACCTGCCAAATTAACTTGTCTCCTCTCATTCACATGTCTGTGATGTGTGCAACATTCAAGATTATCAACTGTCACATTCAATCCTCACATGGACTAAAAGTCTATGAAATTATTTGCTGAAGCAGTATTACTGTCCTACTACTGAGACAGTATGTGTTACATAACTTGTAGCACTTTAAAAGCCTGCAAGAAAATACAGGAACAGACTTGCACAGTAGGTAATGTTGGTGTAGAATAAAGCATACAACCAACAATATCAGAAGACACACAACAGGTTCCCTGAGAAGATTCAGTGATGTAGTCTGACTATCTGGTAAGCCAATCTGGTCCAGGTCCTGTTGCTTTTCTCAGGGAACTCCTGCCATCCTTGCATAGGTGCTCAGCTGTAATGGTTTCCTGCAGGGACAAAGCACCTATTTCAATGACAAAACATGGAACTCTGGGACAGTTCTCGAGGTGAGAAAAGGCTTAGAGAGTGAGTGAAACCTTGCAGTCAACTGTGGGAAAAGGACTAGGATCTTTAAGGAGTATGCATCTGTTGCATCAGCTCAACTACAAGCACCTACATAATGGGTAGCTGGAATTCATTTTGCTGTATTTCAGAGACTTGAAGCTAATTCATTTTGTGTACTAATCACTATTTTAGCATTGAGCTTCTTACTGTGCTAGTTTTTGGTTTACCTTAACAATTTATTTCTCCTTTTCTAGCCCATTACAAAATGAAGTAGTTTAAAAAGCACTGGAAGGTATTTAAAAATTAATCAAAGTTAAGTGAATATTACTAATTCACTGATCAAAGGAGAGTGTTTTGTGTGTTTTATAGAGCTAGGAATAATGACCATATTTATTATTATGCTTACTACTGCAGTGTTTCATTCTTACACAGCTATGTAGCCATGGCTGTCATTTTAAGACAGGAAGAATATAGACATATAACACGACACACAACTCCAGCTGTCTAGCAACACCTAAAAAAAGCATCTAAAACCCAAGAACGATGCTTTAGTTTTCACTGCATTCAAAGTGACTGTGATATCTGTGACACTATACCTGACCTGTAGCATTTTAGATGCTACACCACTCAAAAATCACATCAGACCAAAAGAAGGCTGAGAAGAGCCTCCCTGAGGAGGTACTCTAAGAGGAGACCAAAGTACCAGAGTATTCACTCACCTCATAAGTCATAAAAAAGGCAATTTAATTGTGCAATCAATCTAGTAACAAGAAGTAGTAGTAAAGGGATTTTTAGTCCCTAGGAAACTGAGTATGATGTGTAATAAATATAGTAATGCAACAATATCACAGTTTGTTACTGCCAATGAGGGTACACACCCCAAGCTTGATTGGAGTGCCCCCCAACTGCTTACTCCTGCCTTCTTCCTCTGGTGTTGCTCTTTGTGCCTAGCCAATTCAGTTTGCTGAAATCTCTTTCTCTCTCCAGCAATGAACTGACTCAGTTCACACTGTTCCATGTGCAGTTTCCTGATATATAAAACAATAATGGAATAATAGAATGGTTGGGATTGGAAAGGACCTTGAAGTTCACCTATTCCAACCCCCCTGCCGTGGGCACGGGACACATTCCACTAGAACGGGCTGATCAAAGCCCTATCCAACCTGGCCTTGAACACTGCCAGGGACTGGGCAGCCACAGCTTCTCTGGGAAACCTGTTCAGTGTCTCAGCACCAATTAGCAGAGATATGCCCCAAAAAAGCCAGAAAGCAAAAATCAACTTCATGAAGCAGAGAAAGTAAAATATATTCAA